GCTGCTATCGCACTACCAGTGTAAAAACCCAGAAATATTTTTCTACCTCGGTTTATATTGATATTTCAACCTCATTCAGGGTGAGTTTCGTAAAAATTGGAGAATGGCCACATGGAGAAAAATGTGCTCGGAAATTTCAACTCAAATCAAGCTTTGAAAACCGGCCAAGAAAAAGTCATTTTTCCTCCCCGTTAAAAATACATTGAAAAGCCAAAACCGATTCCGGGCAACTCCTTAGGATGTATTCTTTCGGATTCTGTAAAAAAATTGCGCAAAAATATTTAAATTGATTGAAGAAATAACTTTCAAAAAGTTGCAAGTTTCAACGGTCTCATATGCTAATTTTAGACCAAATCGGGGTAAAACCAATTTTGCTCAAAAACTCCAATTTTTCAACGTAGGTCAAAAAACCGATTCGACCAYGTTAGTARGCTCACAGAAAGGTGTCCAGGATCTGAGTTTCAAGGAATTTGAATTTTTCATTGTGGCCGGATACTTTCGATTTTGCTCGATTTTTCTGGACAGTCGCTCTTAAAAAGAAAATGGTGACAATATTATTAGTTTTGCACCAGGAGAAGGCAATAAACCTCTCTAATAAGGGTTTTTATTGAAAATTTTTATAATTTCCTACTATATTTTGTGGAAAGCAAACACCTGACAATCATGAAAGAACTGCACCTGTACACTATAGCTGCCTGCACTGTTTGAAAATGGGAATTAAGAAACCAAGATAGACTGCTGCTCAAAGTGTTCCTAATATTTCCTTTAGCTAAATAAATTGCAAATTAAACAAATTCAGGACAGTGAATCATTTTCTCTTAAAAAATGTGAAACAAAGGGTAAAATGCAGAGCAGGTGCAGTTAGAATGTCCAGAAACCATAATAATTATATTTAGTACAACTGTAGAGTTCCTGGGTTTAAATTATAAAGAAATCTGAGAGAATTGCTACCATATTTTGAAAAATGCAAGGATTTATTTGCTACATCATTGTACATAGTATAATTTGCCAAATAGGTAAAACCTACATATTTTTGTTCATTCTCAGCTGCCGAAATTACATGGGTTCATTTACTTTTAAAAACTATTAGGAAGGCTATTAAGTAGACAAATAAGACTTTGCAGTTGACAAGGATAAATAAAGTAATCAGACTTGATTCAGTCAGATCCTGTTACTAATTGAGAAAAAACTTTGAACACACATTCCAACTTTTTAATTGTTTTCATGATGTTATTACCACAGGTTCCTATCAGCTGTTAGTTTACTTTGACTAAAATTCTAAACTTTAAAAATTTAAAGTTATCATCAATACTATTGTTATAATTGATGAAAGGAGTGACTTCTATTGTCAAGCGTGCAGTACCACTGTTAAAAGTGATCACTTGAATTAAGATAGAGTTTTCCCAAGATCCCTTGCAATAAGTTAGAGATCCCTCTAATTTAGGCTGAGATACTTAAGATAAGTGACAGCACACTAAAAATGAGTAATAGAGTTTTCCGATTTAGCGGAATTCCGGCCGTATGCAGAATTTATTGTTCTAAAGTGAGATGCTAGAACAATGGCAGATTGAAAAAGGATATAGTTTTTATCGACCTAAACAGGATAACAATGTTTAACAGCTCCTGTTTCAATTGTTTGTGTTGTTTTGCGGTAGTGAAACCAACAGTTTTTCGAACTGCTATAACTCTGAAGAACTAAATTCCAAGCTATCCAATTAATGCATCTATGACCAAGTTATAAAATCATTGCTCTTTTAACTGGTTTGTTGAGTTTTGTGATTAGCTCCTAATTAAAGATACATGTTACCCCCTCTCCTCCATTGAATAATTTCCCCCCCCCCCCCCCCCATTGCAATACTCCATTTTCAAGTTCAAAGCTGATAGCCGCTGTGTTAGTTTCAAACTTTGTCCACCGAAAGCACCACGAAGAAAGATACTATCATCGTTGTGGAGGACTTTTAAAACGGCAAAAAAAGCTTTGAGCGAGCGTTTTGAGTTAAATTTATACCTAGTGAATCATTAGTCATCCCTTGTTGGTGTGATCTAGCAGGGACACTTCATGAAATAATGTGTAATATCACAATCGCGTACACGGATTTATCGCATTGGTCTGATCCAATTTTGCATGCCGCTTTTCATTCGAAATCAGCCATCATTGATTGCTATTGACACATTAGTTCACACAGTTTTCTTCGTTAGCACGTTTTACCATCTGAAAAATGCTGCTGAGAAATTATATCTCGCTGATTTTGCCCTCTAGGGAAACGATTTACAACAAAAGAAAACAGCCCGTTTTACGAAGCAAGGCTGTTTTACATAATCAGGCCCACCCGGGATGCTTTTCCAGTTGAGCTATTCTAGTTAATATTACTTACAACATTATTTATCTGGACGTCACAACACCAAGACACCTTCCCAGGACCCAAACAACAAATATAAGACGTCGCTGTATTCTGGACGTAAGAAATCGAGCGTTGTTGGTATTTGTTTGGCTGAGAAAATATTTGAAACTGCATACTCTTGCTTTTATCTTCGATATTTCAAAAAGTACAGTTGCGGAAGAAATATAACACATTGTTCCAAAGTTGATTTCGAGATACAAGCACTATATTACGTGGCATACTCTTCAGAAATGGCAAAGTTTTCTTGGAACTTTTCAGCATTTCCCGAACGTTTTAGGCATGATAGACAGCACAATTCATCGAATAAATCATCCTCAGTTCTGGTCCTCTTCAAGCACAGTTCTGACGTGGTGACAAGAAATGACATTTCATCACTTTACAAGTCGTCGTTGATTCAGAGGATTTAATTGTAAAGTTTGATTCATGGTGAGTTTTATGCCCAAAAGAAGCACGACTCAGGATTTTATATTTTTAAAAGTGTCAAAGCATTATCCTTATCATTTCTAGGTATCACCCTACCAACATTAGGTAAAACAGTCTTTGTAAACTTCCGTTATTATCACTGTTGTTCTTGTTGCTATCTTTAAATTTATAATTTAATAATTCATAATTGTGTCACAGTATCTTTATCTTATCATCAATCGATATTTATACTACAAATGTTATCGGCATGATATGATTGCGTATTATGTAAATAAAATTTTAATTTCTTAATTTGATACAGGGATGTTTTCTAACCCTGTACCACGATGTGCACGTTTATCAAGAATGAACAGAATAAAATCAATCATCTTTTCGTTTTTCATCCTTGGCTGTTTGTTGCCTTGCTTTTCATTTCTTCTTTTATTCCACTATTTCTTCTTTTGTTTCTCTCTGCTGATTGCATTCCGTTCGTGTGTTTTTTGTTTGTTTGTTTTTTTGCAATTATCTTTTTTTTTCTTTTTTCTTAAGATGTGTTGAATAACAATCACATCTGTAAAAATCGTATATATTCATTTACATGGAAATAGATCGGCCATTTGTTAAATTTAAAGTCACTAATGTAAAGCAATTATGCAGATGTAAAGCGATTATCAATTTGTATTGTTTAACTAGCGCTCGGAATTTCGGATTCAAATTCTGCTAAATCGGAAAACTCTAATGTAATTGCATGTACCACTTAATGTAAGTGCATGGATGAACAATACTGCCTTGAATTAAGCAGTGAAGACATGGTTTTAATGGCTTAACACTTACAATAAGTCATGTGCACTTACTTTATAAAACTTATTAATAATGCATGAGCTATTACTCCAATACGAGCTGTCCATTTAATTAGGTGATTGACCTTGTAAATATGATTTTGGTCGTCGCCATTGAGACTACCCAACACTAGCAAAGGTCTCAGTTTTAGTATAATCGCATCATAGACCTTTACTAGGTTTTGAAGCAATTAAAGAGAAAATGCACAGAATCTGTACCTGCTAATTTTAAGTGCAATATTCCAGTCACTCACTAGATTTAAGTAATATCCATAAGTAACGACTCAATTTGAGTGCATTCACCTATAATCTAGTGAATTGATCTAGCTGTAAACTAGTTTTAGGTGTGATATTCCAGTCCAATACTAGATTTAAGTAATATCTACTATTTGAGTGCAATAACCTATAGTTTAGAGCATGGATCAGGCAGTGTTACCAGTTTTAAGTGTGATATTTCAGAAACACTCTTAAGATAAGCAAGAGATGCACTACATTTGTGATGAGCTTCCTTTGTATGCCAATTGTAGGGCATTATTGTGACAATAGCTTGACATGACAATAGCTTGTGTTTAAACTGAAATTAAAATGCTACACCAAAAAGGAACGTAAAAACCAATTAAAGCTTACCTGAAAACTAGCTTGACACTTCCATATAGATTCCCACCAGAGAATGTTTCTTTGTTCTGCTCTTCTTTAGTCTTCTCATCCACGACATTTAACTTTAA